TTAGGAAAGGAGGAGAAAAAGAGAGACCAACTCTCAAATACGAATGCAAATTTTGTCTTCCTTGCAAACTGGAAAAGTCATAATGCATGTGACATATAAATATTAGTTACACAAATATCACACACACACATATATAGAGAAACACAAGTATCTACTCTCCATAATCCAGAGTAATTAACACCAGACTGTGCACTGTTCAAAATGTTCCCAAAAAATTCACATTTTTGTTTTTTATTTTCCTCTATGTATCTAATTTTGTTACTATGTTTTTCTCATTATCCTCATTATGTTTTTCTCATTATCCTCATTATTGGGCAATCTTTTCCTCTTTTCATTTTTTCTTTTTATTTGTTTATTTATTTTTGCTTTTGTACAATTTTGTAAAGGGTTAAACTGCTACAAAATCACTTAACATCATTTTAGAACAGTGTTCAAATAACATTTGTAAGCGGCTGGGTGTGGTGGTAAATGCTTGTAATCTAAGTACTTGGGAGGCTGATGCAGTAGGACCAGAAGTTGGGTGACAGTTGGAGCTAAAGAGTAAAACTTTTTGTTTTCAAAACGACAAAAGAGCCGGGCGTTGGTGGCGCACGCCTTTAATCCCAGCACTCGGGAGGCAGAGGCAGGCAGATCTCTGTGAGTTCGAGGCCAGGCTGGACTGACAGCCTCCAAACCAGAGAAACCCTGTCTCTTAAAAGCAAAACAAACAAACAAACAAAAAAACAAAAAAACAAAAAAAACCCAAAACGACAAAAGAATGCTTTATATGTATGTATACATCTGCATTTATATATACTCAGACTCTTCTGGTACTAAAGAAAACCTAGTGCTCAAGCAGAAAAAAATCCACAGTGTCCAGCTTCTCGAATAGCAAAGTGGCTATATTTACTAGGCTGCTAAACACACACAAGGTTAAACAAACTCCTGGTGACTTATTGCATCATAGATCAATGCATCTCTCAACTCTCATCTGAGAAGTTTCTATTTGCGGCGGATGGTGATTAATACAGAGACCCATAACTGGTCAAGTGCAGACAATAAGAGACGACAGAAAGCTCAACCCTAAAGTGAATACATGTACTTCATCCCCACTACTTCCAGGGTTCAGGCACCATTGAAAAAAGAGCGTAAAGTTGGAAGGCAGTGGATGACGACAAGTAAACAGTGTCTTCCGGACAGACCAGCCAAGCTGCACATATGAACCCACAGTAGCTGTGATATTCTCCACAAGGTTACACAAGTCTAAACCAGACAGCATGGAGAGAGGAGTTGGATACCATGATACCAACCCTGCCCATGGAGCTGTTTGGCAATTATTAGGTGCTGGGAGAAGAAAAGACAGTTTTCTCTAAGAGTGCAGTTCCTAGTATGCTGAACATGCTCCCGTGGAAGACTACACATCCAAGAATATTTGGGTACTACAAGTTGGTCTTGAGTGGTATAAAAAAAAGAAAGAAAGCACCAAGTGTGGGCCTGGGAAGAGCTGTGGGAGAGGAATGAATATGATCAGAACACATTGCATGAAGCCTCAGAGAACTAATAAAAACTGAACAAAGTGGAAGTATATTGCCCCCAGTTGTTCTGGAGAAATATTTCCACATGCATTTTTGATAATGCTTCCAGTATAATATTTTGTTCATAATAAGCCAGAGATCACCAAACCATCCTCTGTTTCGATACTTCTTTGGCTTCTTAGGTGTTCATGTTTTGATATTCATTACTATTTAAACAAACATATATATAATATATAATGCATATATATAATGTTTGATCCCACCATATTGGATCATGAGAAGCTGAGTCAAGCTGCAATAGTATCCAGTGACACAGAATTCAGAATAAGGGACAGTGAAGATAGACAAATGAAGTGGTATTAACTTTCTGAGGCTAATGCATGACTCAGAATAAAAGAAGGTCTTAGAGGGTGGTAAGGGCCACACCAGAGAAGCGAGATCTCAGACAGGTTTAAGAACTGGATAAACCAAGGTGCAGAGCCAAAGCCTTGTAATCCTGGTGAGACGCGTGCTAAGAGAGCTGCATTCACCAGCACAGGCTTAAGGTCTGGATATTATTCATCCATGGAGGCTGGAGGTGAGGACAGAGGACTACGACTCTGCAGGTCCACAACTGAGCACTGCACTTTGAGTCTGGCTGTCTCTTCTGTGATTCTGACAATTTTTAATGTGTTTTCTAGGCGTGTTTATCTGACGCCTTGTGAGTCCCCATCCCTGAAGGTCAGACTGATACTTCACGTTCTGCATATCTTAGGCACTTGTTGCCAGAGTAAATTTCCATCAGTTTGACTGGTACTAAGCATCCAGAGGTCCTTTTCCATTCTGCCTATGCAGGTGCGTGGATTTTCTTCTTGCAATTTATCAAGCTCTTGGCTATGGGGAAAAGATTTAAAATGTTGCCTATTTCAATTTGTACTAAGCATCTTATGGAAAATCATGGTTTCATTAAATATTTACTTTCTTTGGGAGATATGGCTGGAACTGGAGTCTTTGGAGAAATTTTAATTTGGTTTTCATGTGGAGAAGAGACACTTCCAATCACTTTTTTGTTTAGAAAGAGCGTTGTCCATCAATGGTCCTGGAACACTTGACCCTGTTCTCACGAGTGACTACTCTAGGTTGGGTGACTAGATGAGGGAACGTAAGGTAGATTCTTGTCTGTATCACCTTGGTCATCATTTTGGCTTTCAGGATTAGGGTAGTTTACCGTATTTCATAATACCAACAACAACCACCAAAACCCACATAGCAGTTTTCTAGTGTCAACACAAACTAGAGAAGGTTTGGTTCTGTATTTTCCAGTGAGAAAGAGAGAGGAGGTTGAGAAATGCAGGTGAGTTGTTGATATTTGGTGGCTGCCCAGACAGGAAGTGTTGGTTTTCTTTAAGGGTGTGATCGTTGGTAGATCAAACATGTCCTGGGGCACAATTCACACCTGGGAGAGTTTGGCAACTGAAGTTGAACTTTTAATGGACTAAAGAAAAGAATAACATAACATTGAGTGGGTAGTGAGGTAGGCGTGGGTCTTGAAGTAGTTGTAGTTATTTGTATTCATGGGGGCAATGTGTAAAAAGGGTGCCTTCCTCTCTCCCTCCCTGAGCATCTTATCTAGGTATCATAATGCTTGTGACCATAGGAAACACACCTTTCATGTCATCATTTTTGTGTCATTTTGTTTAAAGAATCTCACTGTCCTTCCCTTTGGACTTACCTTTCCTTTAATCCACACACCACCATTAACAACATCTTAAAAACGAATGTAGTAGATGAGATGCTTGACTGAACAGTTAAGGGGATATTGGCTGAGGTGCCTCGGGGCAGGGGGCAGTGTTGGGTTAAGGTCTACTGGTTAGTTCCACTGATTCCACAAACAATGTGAAGGGGAGACTGCTAAAGAAGAAAGGGGTTAGGAAGACGGTTTTATGGACAAAGGCACTTGCTGCCAGGCCTGACCACCTGAGTTTGTTCCCTGGGACCCCCGTGATAGAGGGAGAGAATAGATTGCTGCAAGTTATCCCGTGGTTCTAGTGTATTTATTGCTTGGTAGAAGGCTTTGGGAGGTCATTTTTCCTCCTCTAGAATGCTTTCATGCTGATCCAGATCTTCCAGTTTAAGGGATGATTAAGGTCTTGACAACATGTATTACACATGTCCTTTGAAAAGAAGACACTCCTTGTCTCCCTCTCTCCTTTCCCCCATCTCCCCTTCCTGCTGAATCTCTTCTCCTAACTGCCTCCCACCTCTGTCCCTTCCTTCCTTCCTTCCTTCCTTCCTTCCTTCCTTCCTTCCTTCCTTCCTTCCTTCCTCCCTCCCTCCCTCCCTCCCTCCCTCCCTCCCTCCCTTCCTTCCTTCCTTTCTTCCCCCTCCCTCCCTTCATTCCTTCCTTCCTTTCCCTGACTTCCTTCTTTCCTTTCCCTTCCTTCATTCCTTCTTTCCCTCCCTCCCTCCCTGCCTCCCACCCTCCCTCCCTCCCTCTCTTCCTCACTCCCTTCCTCCCTCCCTACCTCCCTGCCTCCCTGCCTCCCTCCCTCTCTTCCTCACTCCCTCTCTCCCTCCCTCCCTCCCTCCCTGCCTTCCTGCCTCCCTCCCTCCCTGCCTCCCTCCCTCTCTTCCTCCCTCCCTCCCTCCTTCCTTCCCTTCCTCCCTCCCTCCCTCCCTTCCTTCCTCTCCCTTCTTTTGTTTCTTTTGGCTGTTTAAAATTGGATCTCTCTAAGTAACCTAGGCTGATTTCAAACTCACTTGAGTGCTGACATCACATATAAAACCATGATTGTCTAAGAAGCTATTTTCTAATGAACTTCTTTCTTCCTTTTGTCTTTTGTAGTATGACAGCACACTCTTACATTTCATGCATGCGCTCCATATCCTCTCCATTAGGACTTTCCTGTTTGTTACTTTTGTTTTGCTTTGTTTTGTTGAGACAGGGTCTCACATGTAGTCCAGGCTGGGCTGGCATTCACTATATAGACCAGACTGGCCTCAATTGAACTCATAAAGATCTTTCTGGCTCTGCTCCCCCATTCCCCAGAGTGCTAGGATTAAAAGTCTGTGCCACAATGGGTCCCTCAAAGAGAGCTTACTTCTGAAGGAAGGACAAATAGATGGTCTCATTGGTTGTTCAGCCAAAATGCTGAAACCAGCACCCACAGCTGTGGCTATTCCTTCCTGAGTTGAGTCCTTATAGGGACAGTTCAGATGAGGGACTTCACCATTTTCCTGCTCTGCTGCTGGTGTTGGGGAGCGAGTGTGGATGTTTGGATAGCAGGTTGACTTAGCTGGGAAAAGCAAGATTATGGGTGTACCCACTCCTCATGTGAATCCTGCATTCTGGACAGCAGTGTTGGCAGGTTAAACAATATCACAGTGATGATAGATCAGCCACTGGGATTAGTGAGAGTGAACACAAATGAATAAATCTACCATGCAAGTATGTAAAAAGCCTCTGACATTAATGACTACATAGTGCTTCCCTGACTGTACAGGATAGTGGGGCAATGTGAGCCCTTGCTTAATGAGCAGATGATAAATTTTCATGTTTAATGATATTCATTCCTGGACCTGGACAATTTATAGGTTGGGTGGAGGCCCTAGGAAGTGAGTAAAACCAGGAAGAAGATGAGTAGGAAGAGAGTACATGGTTTCTCTGGGCTGTGACAAGACAGATGCTGATCAAATAGATTCCTTTTGAGTGATGAGCAGCATCTGACACGATTATTAGCAACATCACAGCACACCTTCAGCACACGAGTATTAACTTGGGCAAGGATAAACGTGAAGTGAAAAGTCTCAGCATTGTATGCTAGTTGTTTTTGGCTGTGTGAAACTATCTGTGAGATCTCAAGTTTCATCTTACTGTTTCCTTCAAGAAAATCGCTGCAGCTGCTTCTTTCTCTTCCCTGTGGTGTCAATCCCAGCGTGCTTCATCTATTGACACCAAGCAAGATGAATGGCTCAGAAGCAAGAACTGACTCTAAACACCCAAAGGTTAGTCTTCTATTTTTGGAGTAACTTTTGGTTTGATAATGTGTTTCCTGTAGCCTACTGCCTCTCGTTTTGAGATGGATCTCATCTATCTCAGGCTAGCCTTAAGTTCACTGTATTGTGAGGTTAGCCTTATACTCTTGATCCTACTGCCTCTCCCTTCCCAGTGCTGGGAATAATCTCATATGTCTGTTTTGTAAAGTGGGTATAACCATAGCATTAATTTCTCAGGGTGGTGAGGTTTGGGAGATAAAGTTAGGGAAAAGAGTTTTAGCTGCTGGTGATTTAACTCAGCTGACAGAATTCTCACCTACTATGCACAAAGCCCTTTGGTGTACTCAGCATTGGGGAAAAAACAAGAAAAAATTTGGCTCAAAGTAAAAAAAACTGTTATGTTCACTCTTATTTGCAGATCTTGTAATAGTGTAATGTGTATGTGTTCATCTATAAGTGGTTATCCATGTGGTTCAAGGATAAAAAGCTAAAAAAGAGTCAAGGGGAGTGTCAGAGGAGGAGCTAGCAGAGGGGTGAGGGCAAAAGGACATGTGTCACGTAAAGAGAAGAGAAGGCCAAGATGCAAATGAGAGCGGGGATGGGAAAAGGGATGTCTCCACTGAGACACGCTTTGTTGGAAACATCGTAATGATACCTAACCCTTCATGCAATAACTAAAAATGGAATGCCTGGCACATGGCAGAACACAATGAGAGCTGGTTACCTTGAGTTTGTCAGCTATTTTTCTAGTCCCAGTCCTTGGCACTGGAGCCACGGCTGCACTGCTGACTCTTGGAGCCATGGTATCTTCCTATGGGTTGTACCTGACTAAAGCAAAGTAGAAAGTAGAATGGAAAATGTGATTTGTAGTTGCATTGAGCTGACTCGTGAATGGCTGTTGTGATTGTAGGAGCTGCATTCTGAATCTTTCTTTCACTCCAAGGATAATGTGATCATGTGTAAGTTTCATGATGACTTTACATGCACCTCTACTGATAAAGGAGGTTGTCATACCTCCTTCACTGGGGTTGGTGAAAGAATGAAATGGAATAACTCTTGTGAAGGAATAGACCACTATGCATTTAAAAGGTTTTGGCTTCTCTGCCCCCCTTCTCCCTCTTTCATTCAAGTCTTTGCTAAATATGTAAGGCATACTAAGAGTCCCGTAACAGCTGTAAGTAGCCACTACCCCCAAGTGAACATTTAAAATGAAACATCTCATCTGAGGTGTGTTCCCAGTGTGAAATAACACTGTTCTCCCCAAACCATTATTCCCATGGAATTCCTTCTTAAATGCAGACTAGTAGAACAATTTTGCATCTGTGGAGGATTTTTCTGTAAAAAGTCAGAGTCTGGTGAGTTCTGAGGTGGTTTTCAGTCTCTGGCTGGTAAGCATTTTTGTAAAATTTGCAGTGATGTTTTTATAAATGAGAATTTTGAGTGAAAACAAAGGAAAGGAATAACAACTATTGTATGATAATATTTGGATCTATTTGGTTACAAAAATATTAAACTTAACTTCACAATTCAAAAAGTAAGCCTCTTACTTTTAGGAATGTTGTGATGGGAATTTAATTTTTACTTCATTTATTCTGTGTGTTCACATTCACGTGCACGTGTGCAGATGTCAGATGACAACTTTCAGGAGTCTGCCCTCTCCTTCTGCCTTGTCAGTTCCTACCACGGCAGTCAGGTGACCAGGTTTGGCTGCAAATACATTTATTTGCTGAGCAATCTTGCTTCTGGGTAACTGAGAATTTAACTTTGCCCTTGTGCTTCTACTGGGTACTGTGCTTCTGACTGCTGGAAATTCTGCAGTGAGAACAAAAACTGACGTAGCTGAGCCTAGCAGTCTTGCAAAGGCAGGTAAAAAACAGCAGGAGTATGAGCTGGGTGGTGGTGGCGCACGCCTTTAATCCCAGCACTCGGGAGGCAGAGGCAGGCGGATCTTAGTGAGTTCGAGGCCAGGATGGACCGACAGCCTCCAAAACAATACAGAGAAACTCTGTCTCGTAAAACGAAAAACAAACAAACAAACAAAACCAAAAACAAAACAAAAAACCCAGCAGGAGTTAAAGAAAAAAAACCATAAAATTCTGTATTATAATGGATATTAAATAGAATTATGTGATTTAAAACATCGCAAAGGAAAATCTCTTGAGACAGACACACTAGTGCACTAGTGCTGAGTCTTGGGGAAGCCTCGTCCCATATGGAGAATCCAGGAACGTGGAGATGGCCTGTCAGATACTGGCTACCGATTTACCCGACATCCAACTCTTGGTCAACAATGAGAAAGCCTGTGGGACTGACAGACCCCTTCCTGAGTCCTTGCAGCTTGTGTTCTGGTGAAGAAACAGGCAGGTGAGGCAAGTACTTTGGAGAGCAGGGAAGGTCACTAGACTGCCCTGGTAGCAGTTTCCCTTCTTTTCTCTCTCCAGGTCATCCAGGACCACACATAGTCTTGATCACACAGTCTTCTAGGGCGGGTCTGTTCTTCCTTCAAGCTTGGTATTAGGTGCCATTGAAGTCTGTCACTTTAGTTTTTGCTCTCATCATCCCGTTCTGACTCAGACTTGGCATCTGGCAAATGAGCATTTGCAATATCCTCCTGATTGCATCTTTGCCTACAGGCTCTTTATGCTCCCTGGAGTATATTTTGGGCTTGGCTCACAAGTTAATCTTAATGAAATGCCATTTGGCTCATGTAGCTTCTCTGCTTCAAAGCTTTTCTTTTTCTTAAATAAGTTTTTTATTTAAAAATATTTTTTATTTTACATACCCTCTCCCCTCCCTCCTCCTAACCCCTGGTTCCCCCTTCTCACCTCCATCCACTCCTCAGAGGGGATAAGGACTTCCTTGGGGAGTTCTCTGGTACACCAAGTTGAGGCAGGACCAAGCCCTTCCCCCTGTATCTATCCACCTTGTCACATTTCTGCTTTTATCCTGCATTGCCCCAGAAGGGTAGTCATCCTTGTCCCTCAAAGTTGACCAATTTGTCTCTGCGGAAACTGTGAGAACATGTTAACATGAGCTTAGGCTCTGGAGTCATCAGACCAGTTTCAAGCTCTGCCATTAAACTAGCCATGGGAACGTTCTCCTAAATTTATTGTTTCATCATTTCTGCATATCAGGAGGCAAACAGAACTTTGTATCCTTCAAGTTGAACAGATAAGACATTGCACACAATGCATTTTCCAAGAGCCTAGTCCATACTGAGTTCTTAGTCCTCAACATCTGTTTAAATAAACTTCAAGCACAACATATATTGGTTAATAGGTATGCATCTGGGAACTTCTGGATTCTTCTGCAGCCCCTAGTCTCAGTTAGCATTTTCTTAATTATTGTTGGGCTATGATCCAACTATAGAACAGTGTGACTATTGTCTGGAAATACTGTGGAGCTGGATGAAAGTTCTAGATACTATTCTGTGTAGAATCTCTGAGGTTCCTTAAGGTAAGTACTGTAGACAACAGGAGTGACTTGAAAATCTAATAGATCTTTGTGGGTCATCTACTTTTATTGCACAGCTGGTTTTATGATCCATAATTAAGCCATGTAATTGCTGGTATATCAGTTGCCTTTTGCCATTCTTAACTAAATGTCTATTGTTTATTAACTTGTTGGGATCTTGTCAGTGAAGTACAGTAAAAAAGGGATTGAACCTGAGGACATAGATTCATCTAGTCACATCTCAGTTCTTCTCCTATTGCTAGTCATGCCTCCATAGAGTTAAATCTTTACAGAGGTGAAGTGTTAAAATCGTGTACAGATTTCCGGTCTGTACTCCAAAGTGTTGAAATGGGCATCATCCCGTGGATGCCAAATAAAAATAGAATGAATAATGAAATTTAAATGTTAAATAATGCATAATATAAGAGCCACACTTAGGTCATGGGGGAACAGGAAGTTGAGTGGGTGGGGGTAGATTAGGGGGATGAGGGAATCATAGGTTAGAAGACAGATCAGGCACCAGAGTGACCTCGAGTGATCTAAAGGGATAACACCAATTGGCAAGCTAAGCAACAGTGGAGAGACCACCTCGAATGCCCATTCCTGATAATGAACTTGATGTCTATAACCATCCGGGAGCCTTCATCCTGTGACTGATGGAAGCAGAGGCAAACACACAATTAATCACTGAACTGAACCCAAGGAACCCAGTGACAGAGAGAGAGGAGTGATGAGCAAATTGGCAAAGAATGGGCTGGCAAAACCAGCAGAGACAGCTGATCTGAACAGGGGAGAGCTCTTGGGCCCCAGACTGACAGCGGGAAGCCAGCATGGGACTGATCTAGACTCCCCAAATGTGAGTGTCAGCGAGAAGGCCTGGGCAACCTATGGGGCCCTGAGCAGTGGATCAGTGTCTATCCCTGGAATACAAACAGTCATCGTGTGCCCATAGCACAAAGAGGGATGCTCTCTCAGCCTGGACTCTTAGGGGGAGTGCCTGGACCCTACCCAGAGTGAAATGACAGACTCTAGATATCCCCTATGTGGAAGGATTTGGCAATAGAGTGGGAGGCTGGGGGGAAGGGGAGTGCGGGAGGAGGGGAGGGACAGGGAATTGGGATTGACATGTAAAACAAGCTATTTAAAATTAAAATAAAAATGATAAAAGAAAAAAAAAGAGCCACACTTACCCTAATTATTAATTGCTTACACGGAGCATAAAGTGCCACCAGGTTTCCTAGACTTTTATAGCTCTGTTGTTGCTAAACTCATTCCATCTTCAGGTATTGACATAAGTTCCTGTGCAGATGTCACATTTATTCAGATGCATTTGTGGGAATGTTTCGGATCTCTGTGTTAGGTGTTCTTCATAGCCATGCAGCCAGGTTGGAGAGGAAATGCCGAGAGGTCAACATGTATAATGTCAGATCAGAGATGGTTGCTGATTCCTTTTGTTCATTGTAGTTTTTGTCATGAACTTATGTGTTGACCTTTTGTACAGTAGAAAATGAACCACAGGTGGGGATTTAGGAGCTGAAATAATGAACTTAAGTGTT